GGATCCAAATAAGAAATAAAATATCGGGTGTTCCATAAGAAAAAATATAATTTTGGTGTGTAAATCTTAGTTCTGACATACCCTGTACATTTCAAAATAATTTTAAATTATGCACATGGTCTTCCCACATATGCCCATAAAATATTTTGTTTCTACATATTTCCGTTTTCGTATAATCAACCGACGCGAATGAGTTGCGCCACCCCGTATATAGGTGTTCCATTTAAAAAAATATTCGCGATCCACTCACACTTTTTGAGTCACCCTTTAGTAGTTCAAATATTTTCCTCAAATACATACCTAATACATACTAATACATACGGTATTAGGATACTGGTCTGGACTACAAAATTCATAAGTTTTTTATTATTAGAACTACAGATGTCCGACGCACTATTGCCGGACCCTGTAGAATCAAAGGTTATTACATTTTGGTGATAAATTAAATATTAGTATTGTGAACATTTTATTTCACCCGACTCTAGTTCGACATATGCTCAACGAATTGTAATCCTAAACCGACCAATCAAATGTAAAGTTTCAGGCATCCGCGTCCGCTTCTCGCAAAAACAAAAATTTGTTTTTAGGAAGCATCGCGCTGAACATCTAGGTGCGTGGCGAGGTGCGAGGCTCCAGTATGTTTTGACACATAAATTTGTACATGTTCGATTCAGCATCGCCGGATGGCAAGGTGAATGGCGCGCATCGCATCGAGATGAAATGCCCCGCACTATGTTTGTACGATAGTCGCGATGCATCCTACGCGCACCCATTCGCCGTTTTAAAACAGCGCGCGTAGGATGCATCGCGGCTACCAGCCTGGCGAGCAGCGCGGCCAGCATCTTGGCGAGCATCGCATCGAGATGCCTCACTATGTTTGCGCCTTAGACCGTTGGATGATTCCCATAGGTTGTAACGTATATATTTTTTTAAAGAATACTATTATTGCATAATATATTCATGCAATAACAGTGTTATTATTATGATCTCCATCCAAACATCATACTTCTTGGGTTAATGGTTTACTGGTGATGATTGTTTGCCATCAATATCAAAGAAACTTAATATCATACATTGTGCTGTTTAGTCATATTTTGCGTTTTCATTTGGTTTTAGTAGAGAATTTTTTGTTTACCTTTTTACAGCTCGCTGATGTATACCACACAATATATTAAAGTTTAATAATTTTTCTTCCTTTGTTCGCAAAAACGTCCGGATACATAATATTTAGAATTGCATTGTATAAGTAATTATATGAAGTAGTAATCTACGAAATATACATATTTAACATTTTCTAAGTTATTTTTAGAAATAACGTGGTAGACGGAAAGATAATAAAGGCATCGGAAGTTTCGGCTGCTTGAAAGTTCGGGGAAGTTAATTTTTCTTGAAGGTGGAAAATTCTCTGTACACAGATCGCGGGTGGCTGGCTTGCTGGCTTTATGGGTTATTTATGCAAATTTTCAACTGCTACACGCCGATAAAGTATTAGAACGAAAAGTGTCTCGTTCCTAAGTAATTATACGATTCCTCCTGTTGACGCAATCTAATTAATATAGGTATTTATCTTACAAATTAAGACGGCTCGCTTACTATGGCAAATACCTAGCGACCGAGTTTCGGTGATTAATTACATAAGATATCGCTTCATCCCGCCAACTCCTCTTCCGCTATAATTCTGGGCAAATTTTCGCCGTGCTCGTCCCCTCGTTCTATTGCTTTTGTGTCGCATTATGCAGTACTGCGTATTGTGCCCACTCCTTTCTAATCATTTCGATCATTCTTCTCGGAAATTACCCAAAATCCCCGCTCGCTACACAAAAAGATCATTTCTGGTTTCGTTTTCATTGTTGCCGAGGACTACTTATATCCCAAATCCCTTCAAGGCAAAGATTTCGGAAATAAAGCCCATATACACTTTAATTAAGTTTTATAATTTCATCAGACAACCGGATTTCTAATTTTAGACTTAACTTTTGCTTTTAATGATAATCAGAAGTGATATTTTACTAAATTTACTTATATATCTTATATCAGAAATATTTCAAAATAAATCTTATTTAATTATTGGATTCAATTTTACAAAATATATTATACCGGGTGCGTCTCAAAAGTGGCTCACCCCTATGACTTTATTCTTTCAAATAAAAAATTAGAGATTTGGTATGTTAGTATATGACATAAATTAGGATTGATTGACGATTCAATTGTTTTTGGTCACTTCCTGTTTCACCGGAAATGACTACAACTTTTGATTTTTAAATGGCACCCTCGGTATATACAGGCTCTCGTCTACCAATCTCGAGGTAGTGGGTTCGAATCCCACACCCGGCATTTCATCAGCCGACTATTTTTATTAAAATAAAAATAGTTTGGGTACCTAGGTCGACTCAGCCTTAAATGAGTACTTGGGATTCACAATTCTGAGGTAATAATAGGCGGTTGAAGCGTAGTGCTAGGCCACATTACCTTCCTTGTATACCGAACGGCTCTAGTATGGCAAGCTGTACCTTGCTACTCCCAAGGCGTTAAACGCTATATACGGGAGCTATTATTATTATTATATTTTAAATACCATCAACGTCAATCAATCCTAATTTATGTCATATACTAATATACCAAATCCCGGTTTTTTAACTGAAAAAATAAAAAATTTATAAGGGTGAGCCCCTTTTGAAACGCACCCGGTATACAGTACAGTTGACCACCTGTTACTAACTGTGAACTATGAAAACACTAATAGAACGAGCCGATGGATACAACATCCCATTATACAGGGTGAGGCTTAAATAAATGCAAATATTTTCGGGGCTGGTAGATCTCCATAAAATAAACATATTTTCTCTTTACCGTTTTTCAAATAACTCCAAAATAACGGAGATATTTTACTTTAAAAAATAAAAAAAATCGGTTAGATTTTGAGAAACACTGGATCTTTTCTGGGTTTCCTTTCTTGTAAATTTAATCTACTACCTACATATATGTTGCCATATTATGAAGATATTATTTTTTTTAACTAAAAATTAAAAAAAAATCAAAAATTCTAAATTTTCAAAAATAATTTGCGAAAAAAAAATAAAATGTTACATATATCCTAAAATGCAGCTAATCTTTACAATCGTTCACAATCAACATTATTGTTATTATATTATATACCCCTGCAAACCATATTTTCTTTTCCTGAAAATTAAACAATCAATTAAAGAAGACTAAGCTAATCAGGGAACAATCAGCGCCGAATCCTGGTCAAAGCAATCGAGGCATTAAAGTGACGAAGAATCGAAATGGCAAGAGAAATAAGACCTCAGATTCATTCAATCAGCAGAGTCCCAGGGGAGGGCGAGAAATTAAGTAACCTTGGATGCTCGCCTACATGTAATTAGAATTACTACTTCCTGCGGTACAAATATCACCACGTTCCCCTAAGGACTTCTCCCTTGTCGCAATCCACTTCCATTTTTGGTCCATATTTTTGTCCTATTTGAAAAAAATAGTGCTATTTTATAGAATATATTTCCAGATATGTAGTAATGATAATAAGATTATGTTAATAAAATTATATAGCTGATTTAAATACAATAATTCTTGTAAATGCAGCGATCAAACAGTTTTATATACTTAGTATCCAGTTTTTTTTAAAGTCACTAATATAGAATCAGGAAATCTTATAATGTAAATAATCTTGATAAAAACAGATATTCGATAAAAGAGTAGGAAAGTCGTTTAAAGTTATATTCTCTGTATTTTATTGACATCGTCTTCTGACGTTAATGGTAAGATTAAAGAACCTTACCGACGTTACTTTACCGTAACATCCTAGAAAAATATTTAGAGGCTTCCACTGATTTTTTTTTCTCTAAGCCAGGCCTGGCACTCCTAAGGGAACCGTTGACTCATCTCTGATATTCAATAAGGATGCCTTAAGTATCTGTAAAACACTATATTATGGTTATTTGTACTTTAGGATATGCACATTGTTAAGATTTTATTTTATTGTACTTTTAACAGGCTAAACTTATTTATTTTTTGAACCAGTACTTTCATTTAAAAAATGTGCTATCTAATATGCTTCTAATATACAGGGTGTCCCCTTAGCTGTGATTGCAGTCCACAACATATATGCCTTTTTTGGTTAATATACATATTAAAACTTGACGGAAAACCTAGCTCAAATATTTAAAAAATTAAAGCTTGGTAAAAATGGGACACACAAGTTTTTAACTATATATGTATATAATAATTTAATTCCAGATTAATAAGGCGTTATATTATGCGTATTTCTTTTTTTGAATATGTCTCAAAAAATGAGTGTACTGCCTTTATTCCAGCTGTTGCAATTCGATTTTCCACGTTATGCACCGAGGCGTGGAAAACAATTTTCGATAGAGAATTTATGAAGACATTCTGACACAATATGTGACAGCGTTTTATATTCCTTGTATTCGGCATGTTTAGTCTTTTACGTCCGATTTATTTTTTGCGTGATTTGTTATGCGATTTAATAAAAGCAGTGGCTTACGTTAGTAACATCTTTTTATATAGATTTATACTCAGACAAAAATATAATTAGACAAGACTTAATGTAAAAAAAAGGTACCCAAGAAAGAAACCAGATATAAACAGAAAAATAAATAAATAAAAAATAATAGGATGCTACTTATTAAAAAAGTTTTTAACGATGATCTATATAATTATTATACAGATTATAATTAAAATAAGTAAAGATTTTTTGCCACGCTTTTTATTAAAAGATATTATAGATTTTTATTTATTGAAATAATTGCCACCCCTAATCTATTTTAAATACTTATTTATTACCCGCTACTGGGGCTAATTTCTTGTTGGAAGGTCGTTAAATTTATAAACAAATACCTTTCGGAATGAAGGCGCAAAAAAATAGCAAAAAATAGCGCTGCTATGACTCAGCTCGACACAGCGAAGCCACTGGCCACAGGCAAAGCTGAAAAAAGTCTAGTAGGCGCTAGTAGTGATTTGTTTATCGAAGTTTTGGCAGCCTGAGTTGCGAGTATATTTACGAAAAATGTGTTTAAAAAGTGTTTTTAGTGATCATAATAAGCCGTAATATGTAAGTACAAACATATTGTATATTTAGATGTTCTAATATTTACTGTTTTGAGATTTGGCTTCTGAAAGTTGGTTTAAAAGAATTGTGTTATAAAATTTTATTCCTGCAGTTCTATTTTTTACATAATAAGTATTTTCAAATTATTTTATACCGATTTAGGCTGCATTTATTTGTTTTATGATCTCGTACTCGTAAGTATTCAAAATTAAATCAAATACGTAAAGATTGGAATAGGAATTTCAGTTTAAATCTACTAATGAGAGAAATACAAATATATTTAAGATACAGTGACTTAAAATATTAACTATAGTAAAAAGCTGAAACACTAAAGGGGAAACTTTATATGGAGCATTTTTGGAGCACTGGGGAGCAATGTAGATAACTAATTATAGTTTTGTAATTTTCTATTTGTACTATTAGGTTTTCGGTATATTTAAAGGAATCATACCTATGTATATAGAAGATTTTCTATTATATTCTACGTCATTCCCTGCCCTGTTTTCGAATTGTTTTTGGTCACTTCCTGTTTCACCGGAAATGACTACAACTTTTGAGTTGTAAACGGCACCTTCGGTGTTTTTTTACTTTATTCGGTAGAAAATAACACTCTGAATAGAATGACATATCATATGTCAACTTTTGACATTTTCGCATATGGTTTATATGAAATTATAACTTCCGGTTCGTAATGAAAATTTGACTCGAAATACCGTGTGTAAGTATCTAAAATTGAAGTGTGTAGTATCAAATTATTCGTAAAAAATGCCTTTTCCAAATATGCTAATGAGCCACCCTCGTTCCATTTGAAAAATTGAGATATGATTAAAAATACGATTTGGGCATTTTTTTAACTGGCCAGGACAAGACACTAAAAACATTAGACGATCAAATCTATTTTTCCAAGGCTCCTTGATTTAGAATTAGTATTTTTAACATACCCATGGCACTCTAGTTTGAAATTTAAAATACGAGTATTTTATTAAGCGAGAATGTCAAAAGTTGACATATGATATACCATTCTATTCAGAATGTGATTTTTTATTGAATAAAGAAAAAATACCGAGGGTGCCATTTAAAAATCAAAAGTTATAGTCATTTCCGGTGAAACAGGAAGTGACAAAAAACAATTGAATATGTCTATCTTAATTTATGTCATATACTAACATACCGAATCTCGTTTTTTTATCTGAAAAAATAAAAAATTATAGGGGTGAGCCCCTTTTGAGACGCACCCGGTATATTATATGATTAAATATTTTAAAATTTTGAATTTTTTTTAATGACTAGTAAATAAAAAGCCATATAAAAGATCGATTACAAAAGAATTGTAAAACATTTAAGAAAGTACGGTCAGATAATAGGTAAGAGGTCCGTCGCATTGTATCATAGATTGAATGTGAAATGAAGTATAAGACGTGACAAGTGACATGGGGTGTCGACAAAACTTTTGACGTATGGCTTTCGGGCTGCCGGCTATCGGACCGTAATATACGTCCATCTATATCGAGTTGGAGCGTTAGGGCTCTCTGGAGGAAACTGCTCCACTTTATCTTCCAGTGTTTTATGTTTGCGGCTTGACAGTAGATAAAAAATATTCCGATGACTGATGGCCGAGAATTGCCTGGGAGACCGCCTTTTTTATTTCTCTCCACTATCTTTTTAATAAACAGCTATTAGTTAGGCTCTCGGATTTACGCAGATACTTGTAAGGGCCCATTGAGTTATAGCCAAGGGTTTATTTACGACCACGCAGGAGACGACCCTTTTGTTGCATTTATTTCTATATTTCCCTACGTAAAATCGTTTAATTCCTTTAAAAGCTATATAATATAAATATCCATCTGGATGTCTAAAATTACTCTAGTATATACCGGGTGCGTCTCGAAAGTGTCAAGCTCACCCCTATAACCTTTTTTATTTTTTCAGATAAAAAACGAGATTTGGTATGTTAGTCTTTAACATACATTAGGATTGATTGACGTATTCAATTGTTTTTGGTCACTTCCTGTTTCACCGGAAATGACTACAACTTTTGATTTTTAAATGGCACCCTCCATATATTTCTACTTTATTCGATAGAAAATGGCACTTTGAGTAGAATGATTATGAATTTATGACATTTTCGCTTAAAAAAATTGTATTTTAAATTTCAATCTAGAGTGCAATGAATGTGTTAAAAACACTAATTTTTAATCAAGGAGCTTTGGAAAAATAGATTTGATAGTCTAATGTTTTTCGTGGGTTGTTCTGGCCGGTTAAAAGATGCGCAAATCATATTTTTAACCATATTTCAATTTTTTCAAATGAAACAAAGGTAGCTCGTTAGCATATTTGAAAATAGCATTTTTTTACGAATAATTTGGTACCACACACTTGGTATTTTGAGTCAAATTGTTGTTATGAACCGCATGTTACAATTTCAAATAAGCCATATGCGAAAACGTCATATGATATGAGATATGATATATCATTCTATTCAGAGTGTCATTTTCTATTGAATAAAGTAGAAATACACCGAGGGTGCCATTTAAAAATCAAAATTTGTAGTAATTTCCGGTGAAACAAGAAGTGACCAAAAACAATTATTGAATACAATTAATCCTAATTTATGTCATATACTGACATACCAAATCTCGTTTTTTTTATCTGAAAAAATAAAAATGTTATAGGGGGTGAGCCACTTTTGAGACGTACCCGATATATTGCAGGCTAATAATACGTGTCTAAATGACAATATTTCAAGAAAAGTTTAAGTTTAGGACAATTTCCAAAAAAAAAGATATTATTTCAGTAAAGTAGTAAAGTTTTTCAGAATTCAGTATGTACCTACCTATTTACTAACACTCTTTTTACAATATTTATTTAGGTTTATTATTTGAATTATATCTAAAACTTATTACAAAACGTGCCTTAGAGACCATAATACATACAAAAATACTGCGCAGGAAATTCTGTACAGGAAAATTAAAATTCAAAGTGATATAAAACACAGTAAAATCAATTTTCATCAATCAAGCTTTTTTCTATTTGACATTTAATGAGAGTGATTAAATTGTACGCTAGCACAAGAAAAATCTTCCTAGAAACTAATTCTACAAATATATAAATAAGCTAGGGTGAATTCTACCTTCCTCTTTTACCTGTCTGTCATACATCACGGCCATATGTGAATGTTTTGACATAATGATACTCATCCTATAATAGCAACGCATAATGTAGGAAATGACTGAAAAGGAACTAAAATTTTAAATTCATAGTTTGATTTTTATCTGGTAGTGTCCAATTTAGAAGCTTTAAATTTTGCTTTAGGTATATGATATAATATAAGAATATACGTTGTGTTAAGTCTTTTAGCAGGGAATGTAGTGGATAGCAATATTGTAGATACAAAGACTGTTGAACCAAATTTTACGATTTCGAGACTAGAATATTGTGATTTTACAACTCTTTGCAACGTGTGCGGTAAGCTTTAAGCTGTAAAACCAGTTTTATGTTCACCGCAAAAATAATAAAATATAAAAAAATCTACATTCCAGTCATATTTCAATATAAATCTAGTTGTGTACCTTCTACCAAACAGGATGTTAGCCCTATATTATCCTTAAATACAGTATGATTATTTTAAAAGTAGCAATCGGGTATATATTTTACATAACATACACCAAACATTGTCAGATAATTGACAGTAAAATACGTTTATGCTCTTCTTTGCTATATTTCGTGCTGTTTATTCATAAAAATTAATACATTTATTGTTACTTGTGTTTAGAAAAGCCCATTTTAACTACTTTAAGAAAAACTGCATCTATTTTTAAATTAAAACTGACAGGAAACAATTGGTAAAAACCAGGCAAATGTCAACATACCTTAATTTGTCAATCTATGATTCTATCATTGTCCATTGTAATTTCTTGTGTCCCCGAAATGCATTTTTGTTTTAAAACTGGTTTGGATGAGGTAAAAGCATAACGTTTAGATAATACAATTTGATATTGACAAAATTATATGACAACTTAAGGTACTATGATATTTGCCTGGTTTTGTATTGTTACATGTTCAGTTTTAATTTAAAAAAAGATGCAGTTTTTCTTAAATTACTTAAATTCAGGTTGAAAATTGTTTAAATTTGGCAGTATATTCAGGTGTACGCAGACCTTTAAAATACCTATTTACGACTTTGCTGTAAAATATACAGGGGAGCCAATATTTTGACAGCTCAAAATTTGTATACAATTTTCTGATTCCAATGACGATGCACCACTCGCTATACGCGGTATTTTCAAAGAACGTAGCCCCCGCGTAAAACGAGAAATTCCTGTATATCACATACATAAAAAGTCCTCCTACTCTGGCTGCCTGCTCACCAAGGGATAGTCTCCAATCTGGAAGACTCCAACCGTAACTTGGAATGGGTGTCCTCCAACGGTCTAAGACACTCGAAAAAGTTCCTCAGAACCTACGACCGAGAAAAATCAAAGGTTTTCCTTGATTTAAGTAAAAACAATCTTCGGATTGTCACGGGGTTTCTAACAGGACACTGTCTCCTCAACGCACACCTCAGTAGGCTGAAGCTGAGAAACAACGGCGAATGCAGATTCTGTGGGGAATACGGGGAAACACCAGAACACCTCATCACTGAGTGCGCCGAGACGACGACCATTCGTGCCATGAACTTTGGTACGGCTGATGTCAAGGATGGAGAGCTAGCCTCTGTGGAGCCGTCTCAGATACTGGCTTTTGTTAAAGCCTTGAGACTGTATGATGAGTTATAACTCGTTATAACTCAAGAAAGGGGAACACACAATAGATCTTTAAGGTCGCGGTGACTAACTCCCCTCCTAAACATTCTACATTTTCGATACATTCATACATAAAAATTATATTTAGAATTTCAAGTAGGAACTCAAATATCTATCATATATTAGATCCTAAAAAAAAACCTGTATAGTTATTGGAAATTCGATATTTAAAAAAAATCGGTGCGCGTCAAAAAACGAGCGCGATTTGTCAAATAGGCCGGAAAATTAACACCCGAGCAAATATGCCGACATATTTTGGAGAATTCCCACAAACCGCGGAATGCGACCAGGCAGGCCCTCAAATCCGACAGCCGAGAGCCACTTGTGCCCTTTGCCATTCCGGTGGGGGAATCCCGGAAGTAGTGGCTGGTCGCAGACGCGGTGCACGTCTAGAGCGCTTCCTCGAGGAATCGGTTCCCACGCAGGAGGGTGGTAGTCGCTGCCTGCGAATTGCCTAGGCCTTCCTCAGATTTACGTTTCCAGGTGGTTCAAATTAATTTTCCGTCTTTCCGTAACCAAATACCTATACGGGGAATACCTATAGTGGCTCATAAACGTAAACAACATGGTTTTAAACATATTGATACTCCTTAAACCTTACTTCAAAATTGAAGTTATAATACGTGCACACAAGTTTTTTCAGGGCTGGTAGATCTCGATAAAAGTAATATATTTTCTCGTTACCGGTTTTCAAAAATCCAAAATAGTCTAGTTATATGTTTTACCCCCGCCTGTGTTTTACTAGGAAAATTTAAAAAAAATGAACAGTATAATAGATCTAGTGAACGTTTTAACCATCATCAAAAATGGAAAAGCTGAAAAACAACGGCCCAAAACAAATGTTTCGAATCTTCATAAAATTTTCTACAAATGCTGAAATTTTCATAATTTTATGACAATGTTATAGTATGTTTTTAAAACCTTTGAAAATATGTGAAAAATAGCATAAATGAACATTTTTTGGACTTCTTCCCATACATACAATCATGAAAATTGGCAATTTTCGTCATGTCACCGATTTTATTAAAAATGCTGTTATTTGCTAATTAATAGATGTAGAATAAGAAGATATAGTCTGTTGTAGTCTTACGAAAACAGTAATTGATCTAGAGGACGTTTTAACATTTATCAAAAATAGCTAAAAATCAAGGTTCCTTCGAATTGAAAAGTCCCAATTATTTTGAAATAATTTCATATTATCGAAAAATGTTTGATAATTTATAAAATATTACGGAAAATTATTTGTACTAAAAACGTACTCATCTTTTTGTCAAGAAACTATTTATTGTATTAAAATAATTATTTTCTTATTTCAGGATTACAGAACAGGAATCAGTTGCGAAAAATATCTTAATGGATATTATCGGCCAGTTGATGTACCTAGTTCCATTTGATTCAGAATTTTACAATAAATGCGATTGCAGGGAATATGGTGCATAAAATAAAAACCCTTGCGAACAGGTAAGAATATCATATTTCAGCTCTTTTAGTATTCACATTTTTTGCTAATAAGAGCAAATAATAAAAAATAAAACGAAAATCAAGACAACTGACATCTTTAATTAAATACTATATCAAATTCATACTTATACAGGGTGTTTTGAAATTTTTTTACCAACATCGGTTCGATTCTGTCTTATTTCGTAGTTACTGGGAGTTAAAATCTTCATTTTGCATATATTGTGAATCTACATAAAATTTTCTACAAATGCTGAAATTTTTATAATTTTTGACTTTGTTTACTATCTTTCTAAGGCCTTTGAAAGTATGTAAAAAATAGCAGGGGGTTTATTTATTAATATACGTAAAAGATACAATATACTTTTTACAATCAACTTTAAAAAAGTCTTTTTTATCGTAGTATATTTCTAAACGGTTACGAATAAAAAGTGTGAATGTAGCTCGTCAAAAAGTTTCGAATTTGTATTCGAAGTAAGTCGGACAAGTTTCGAGGCGGCAAATGCGATGCAAAATCTAAAAATGATTCTCGCCGCCAAGTTTCGGTCACAATTTAAAATTGAATTTGTGCAAAACAGATCTAGGACGTTTCCAGGGAACGTGACAAGTGGCGAGATACCAGACAAAACAAGCACTAAGGACCGCAGGAGGCACAACAGAGCGGAGATGCTCACCAAAGTTCCGTTAACATTTATAGCCCCAAATTTAATTAAGCAAATAGCTGAAATTCCTCGGGCAACGGTCATTTATATTCTCAACTGAATACATAACACACCCCCAAGTCGAATTGTATATTTATTGTCGCCACAATTGAAAATTACATGTCATCACACCAACTGAAATTTATTCTAAGTTAAATCATTGTATTAATGCCGGTGTACGTTTGCACAATGACCACTTTGTTCGCATATATTAATGAGTTTTCCATTCCGAAGTTATAATTTAAGCGAGAAATAATTACTATATTATTGGTTTAATTGTACAGATACGGACTAGTGGTGAGTTATATTTCATTTCCTTGTTTTAATATAGTCATAATTATAAAAATTACCTTACTGATAATAGAATTTATTCTTTTATTTCGTGTGTCAAAATTATTATTATATTAAATACACTCAATACCCGTATGACAATAACTATACTATAACTGTACTGGAAAATCTATGTATTTTGCAACTGACATAGATATATAAGAAGATATATTTCCTCTTTCAGCGCTATAAAATATTAGATGTTGATGGGAGGGAGGAAGTTACCCATATAGCACGTCCAAATGAAATTACGTTTCTACAAGGGAGACACATGAGAAACAACATATATTAAAGTGAACCTAAGTGTTCATCTAGTTCTAACATATACATATGAGATACACGCAGGTTTATATTGATAGAATTGTGTGATATAGTGTTTACTAGTTGTATACCGTATGCACTCAAGATTCTAAAAAGTTTTTTGTAACGTAACAAATAATTATTAAAATGATGAAATCTGACGTCGGTATATGAGACATACAGTGTATAAGTCATATGTATGTGTGATACTTCGTATCATAGTTGTGCCTATAGTACACACCTTGTCAAAATGTGACGTATACACATAATATAAATATCTATATAGACACTTTGTAATAGTGTACTGTTGTGTCTACATTCTAGCATGAAATGAAGGTGTGCGCATGCGCGGATAGCCTCAGTGTAGATACACCGACCAAGTATATCTTATGTGTCCTCTCTCCTTTCTCCTTTCTAGGAGTGGTATGTGTTAGCAGCCATTATTGTTTTATCATTCGGAAGCTCTATATAAATGTTCTGTTTGTGTGTAGTTTAAAAGAGATTTTAAGGTAAGTACAAGTTTTTAATTACCTTGTTACACCTTCCTAAGAGTATTATTAATATTATAGCAACGACTCTTCCCTTACTCAATACCCAATTTACCAAATTTTGACTCCAGTGAATGAAAACTCTAAATATTCTCGTATAATGATAAAGAGGTTAGCTGAGTTAGCTCTGCAATATATTTTTTTTTAATTTGGAAATAATACAAATCTAAATGGACCAAAGAAAGAAAGATTTAAACACTTCAAAGAACTTCTTACACTGATATTCGGTAAGTTATTGATGGATCAATATACAGATATGTTTAATATTCAATAATCAGTTCATATAAAATTTAAGGGTGAGATTGTTAATCTGGAAATAAAATACAACAAAGTCCAACAGAGTGCTCGATGAATGAGTATGCTAATAAACCAACTGCTTGGAGGAAAAGAGGAGAAAAAATGACTAAACGAGGTCCACCAGAATCGTGGCGATATACCAGTGTTTACTATTTTAGTATGTTGTTATTCTAGGTACTTATATTTTTAATACATTTTGATACAAATTCTGTTCTTTTACAGTGTTTTCTTTTTTCTGGTGTCTGCAGTGTAAATAATTATTATTATTGTGTTATTTGCGCTATTGCGTTCCATGATATAAAGAAATATAAGAATTTTATTTTTTAAACACTTAATCCATTTTATGGAAGAAAAATGGTACATTTAATACAAAACAAAAATGGAACAATTTTAAGGCTACTTCTCTTGAACTTACGATCGAGATACTTTTGGAAAATACAAAGTTTTGCCTTCCTAATTTTCGTTCTAAAATGTTATAATTGGTACCATTGAATAAATATTTCTTAAAAAGAATGAAAACTTAGGCATCAAAACTTGTATTATTTCCTAAATTCGTTCATAAGAAGTAGTTTTATCTAGCACAAGATATACGAAGCAAAATACATACGTATACACGCGGTAGTCACAACTGCAATGTGTAAACATAGTTTAAACGTAATACACAAGCACTGTGTATCCTACGGCACACTGTGTATCCCTTACTTTGTGTATACGTAAATGCTATACTGTGGCTACATTGTGAGGCGGACGTTTAACCTTTGTGTCAAAATTATTATTATATTAAATACACTCAATACCCGTATGACAATAACTATACTATAACTGTACTGGAAAATCTATGTATTTTGCAACTGACTAAGATATATTTCCTCTTTCAGCGCTATAAAATATTAGATGTTGATGGGAGGGAGGAAGTTAATCACCGCGACCTTATAGATCTATTGTGCCCCCTTTTCTTGAGTTATAACTCATTATACAGTCTCAAGGCCTTGACAAAAGCCAGTATCTGAGACGGTTTTACAGAGTTAGTTCTCCATCTCCGATACCGTACCAAAATTTATGGCACGATTGGTTGTCATCTCAGTGATGACGTGTTCTGGTGTTTCCTCATTTTATAAAACTGAGTAGGCTTCATTAACCTAAAATTATTATTATTTCTAGATATCGTAATCTTCTAAAGGTTTTCCGGAAAATAGTTCAGATCCATGAACATGGATCTTGGACTTTATAGCCATTTTAACAATGAAAAATATTAGGCATTTTTTAAGAGTTTTTTTTTACTTTTATAATAGGTACAATACTTCCGTTATGATTTTCTTTATAGCCACTTTTCCAAATCACTTTATAAACTGCATTTGAGAATAAAAAGCAATTCTTTTATAGTTTTTGAGGGTGTAGCAGTTTGCGACAGTTCAGTTTTTGCGGAGTAAAATATATACCGTTATTTTAAGCAAATTCTAATTTATATTGAAACCAATATTAATTTTTAACAATATTAAAATTAATTACGAATATTATTTTATGAAATAATTACAACATCGCTTCATAAAAGAATCAAAATTCGTTTACTAATTATTTCATAAATAGAACAAAATGAGTTGAATCAATATTTTTGTTTAAAAATCTAATATTGTCTTAAAATGTATGATATTACATTATTTTGATATTTTTTCAAGTCCGTTACAGGATATCCTAAAACTCTTCTGGATGTAGGGAATTGAGGAATTTCTTGTCACCCCCTAATATTTATTTTCTTCTTGGGGACCTCGGACCTCCCTAAGTTGGCCATAAATTTTTTTAAGTCATATCTAGATAATTTTTATTTCTGCACATCGTTCAATACAGGGTGAGTCTCAAATAAGTGCAAATATTTTCAGGGCTGGCAGATCTCGATTAAAGAAACTTATTTTCTCTTTCCGTTTTTCTTTTTATTTTACTGTGAAAATTGCCAAAAAATTGATTTTTTGCCAAAATTTTGAGAACCACTGCATCTTTTCTGGATTTTCTTTCGTGTAAATTTAATCTACTACTTATGTTGCCATATTATCAACAAATTATGTTTTTTAACTAAAAACTAAAAAAATCCAAAAGGTCTTTATGGGGTCAAAATATACTACCCCTAAAAATATTTGCACTTATTTAAGACCCTGTATAAGTACTTTGTATTGAAAACAGAACAAAAAATAATGCTTGTTCTATTTTTGTGCATGGTTATATTACATTAATTATACACGTTGTTGCTATACCGTACATTAAAATATAGCTAACTGTATACTTAACAGATTTTTAGAGTACGAAGAACCAGTATGGCAAAAAATCTCCGTATAAGTTTTTCTATGAGTTACATAATAGATGTTATCCATTTTTGTTTAATCTCTTTGTTTTTATGTTTCTGATGACAGGGGGAGATATAGCCCCTGAAACGTTAAGCATTTTTTGATGCTTAGGTGAATTTATTTAAAATAAAACTATGCTTAATTATATAATTCTCAGGTTGGGTTTAGCAAATAGTTTTAAACCGCGAATTACTTCTATTTAAACTCTTCGAAAATGACTGAATGTTCTAAATAGACTACGGATATATTTGTCAAATTTCGTGAGATAGGAAAAGTCCACAGAAAATAGATTAAACTAGAGATTTGATTTAGTCGACTTGAAGCTTTTACAACGAGGACATGAGGGAGGAAACAATCAAGACACTCCTCGGGCTTAGAGCTCGCCAGAGATGGGAGTGATGCGATCAAGCCACTTGAACAGGCATTAACGGATGCTTTCCACTACATGCTTAAAGTGTCTTGTCGCTTTTTAGCAAGCTTAATTCATCTGC